GCATTTTGACTTGTTACTCAGCTGTTCATAGGACGTTGCTGTCAAGGGGAATGTGTGTGCATGTTGGTGTGCCTAGGCACTGCTCCAGATCAGTCATTAAAGCGGTAGAGCCGGCCGAATATCAGATCACACACAAAGAAACCAAATGACCCAGACGGTAGCAAATTTACTTCCTGCTTGTCTTGTCTTTTGTTGATCTATCATATCGATTCTTCTGCTCAATCATACGTCAAATAATGGAAGAGAGGATGATTGATTACAGCAGATTTCTGCTGTACACACACACACGCACACGCATGCACACTTTAACAGTGACTGCTGATGGCTTTGCATGTTTAATTTGCAAATTTATGCTGACATTTGAAGGCACAACACAACTTGAGCTGTAGCAGTTCAGCCGGGCAGAGCACATTATCATATTGTGCTGTATAATATGATTTCCTCAAGTGAACACTTATGACACACACGCACACACACAAACACACAAGCTAGCGTCTTTGCATCTCCTTCTCAAAGCAAATGCATTTGTAAGTGGCTCAGTGTCAGCTGACTCAAACACATTTCTAACAACAGTAAAATGTCTGGATATGTTGTTGCTCTTTAGCAGTGTCTGTAGTAACCATCGTTTTTTTTTTTTTTTTTAATCTGTGACATCCCACAACCAAGCCACTGTTGCCAGGAGGTCTATTTTGATCATTTGTTTTGTAATGAATTTGTAATGAATGTGCAATTTAAGCACACTATTTGTGACATAATTGTTTTTCTCTGTGAAAGCATTTTCTGCCAGATGCAGTGGCACATTTGCTGAGATTATTTTTACCTCATTTTCTCTCAGTTTAGTCATTGCCAATTTCCACCCTTTAGCTTGTTCTCACAATGCTGGCTTGTTGTGATATTAGATAGAAAGCGGAAATCTAATATCTATCAATAACTTGACAACGAATCTATTACTACTGAGTAATGCAGTAAATCTCATCAACGGCATAATAGGAATGAAAGCTCTCACACTCTCACACGGGCAGTAAATAGGCAGCTGTATTTGTAATTTCTAATTTTATAGTGTTTCAAGGCTGTAATTCTTTACTGGGTTCATGCCGTGTTTCCTCTGATTAAGCATAATCAACAGAAAATTTGTAATCCTTTCATTCAAAACAAAAATCCACTAAACTTACGGTTCTGTAATTTGTCCTTTTGTGTAATTTGTACTTTGATTGGACAATGTGTGTTTAGTCTATCTTCTATTAGATTCTCGTCCAAACATTTTGTGGAAAAAGGATGGAAGAGTAAATAATCCACCTTGTTTGTGTGCATTACACAATTGTATTTCACATTGTGCCTTCCCAATCACTGATGATGACATGTTACTGATATGTCAGCAAAGAGTTGCTGAAAAATATCAGCCAAATGGAGATCAAATCTAGGGTGGGATTCACGCTGTGTAATCACCTGACACTACTGTCACTGATTGACTGGCTAGAAACAAATCAGCCCCTGCCTCACATTTTCATACCATTATGTGTATTTTAACAGCAGATAATCTGATATGGATGCCAAAAATGAAACCTTATATTCGTGGCTTTTTATCTTTGAAAGCCAGGAGCTTAGCCCTGCTAAGCACATTTATACCAATTGCTCCTAACACAACAGATACTGACTACGGAGTCTGAAGTCACAGACTTCCTCTGAGACACATGGAGGCATTTGAGGCTTCTTTTCAAACTGCCGCTCATGCAATGTCCGCGACAGCTGAAAGCACACGGAGGAGAGTGTTAACTGCCCTCTTCTGTATACCTGAGCAAACAGAAGACCAGATTGTCACTTTGAGTGACAGGGGAGAGAGGAACCACCTCCTTCCCACCCACACAGCAGGGCTAATTATATTCTCTCTGAATCCACCACCTATCCAGCATTGTTCCCAGGCTTACTGTTTTGTCTTGTTTTTTTATCTTTTACATTTGTTAAAACTAATGAAAACAATTGTAGGAATAGTGTTAAGCCATATACAGACTCCCATTATACTAATGGACATTAAAGCTCATGTATTTATAATGTCCCAAATTAGCTGGTTTTAGTTTATTTTATTGTGTTAGTCCACATTTTTAGTGTCTCAGTGTCTTGTTGTCTCTGCTGGAGCCTCTGAGCTTATCTGAACAGCTGGGGTAGACACTGGAGTTCCAGCAGGCACACGCAAATATACTCACCCATGGCCACTTCAGCGTGGAAGAGAGGGATGAAAAGCATGTGGAGGAGAGGAGAGGAGAGGAGAGGAGTGTAGGGAGGGAGAGAGAGAGAGAGAGAGAGAGAGAGAGAGAGAGAGACGCATCACTTGCAGTTGGAAAATTGTCCCTGGAGGGCATGTTTGGATAAGAGCAAGTTAACATCTTGTGGTAGTTGCTTGGCTCTCTGTACTCTGTACCCACTTCCCCCTCCTTTTCCTTTCTTTCAACATTTCTATTTCCACATTTTGTCTCTTTCTAGGCTTCTCCCCACATTCTCTCATCTATTCTGTCTTCCACTGTATTCCTCAATCTTGTCCTTTCCTTTACTGCCTCTGTCCCATTTCGCGCCTCTAAGCCATGAAGTGTAAAGTGCAGAGCTGGTGATGGGGAATGAAACTGAAGCCTGATTCAGGTTTCACTTTAGGCTCAGGAGCCCCACCTGAGCCCTACACCCAGGTACCCGATGCTCTCTTAGAGCTTGTTTAACACCACTGGAGAGGGTGGAGTGAGCAATAGGGATAACAGGTTTGTGTGTGTGTGTGTTTGTGTGTGTGTGCAAGGAAGAAGGAGAGACTTGTAAATTTCGATAACGACAAGGAGGTATTTGGTGGTGAGAATGTTCTCCAGATAGGAACTGTTCTGAGCAGGGGTGTGTATGAAATCCTTCACTGTCATGCCTGTGATGCAGCACATGCCTTGCCACCTTGGCATTTCTGCTTATAAAAAGCTTTGGCTGCTGTCACCCAGGGACAAACTGTACCGTGCTCACTGAATGGTGAAAGTATCAGCTGACTGGTATACTATTTGAGGTCAGGACTGAAGCAAGGTGGAGTCACATACATGACCCTGTGTCCCTGGCACATCCATTCAAGTACAGAGCTTTACATGACATGGAGAACAGCCTATTCACTCATTTTATGGGGTAACTAAAGTTGCTCATCAGTTACCCTATGACACAGATTTCACATGCCCCTGTTTATACACCTCTAACCTTAGCCATACTGAGTGAAATCAGAAAACAATCTCGAAATCAGCTCTGAGTGGATAAATAAAACCTTAAGCCCCGGAAGCCAGATGAGACTATACATGCCTGCAAATGCTTATTTATATGTTTATCATTCTAGGTCCTGTATTCTGCATTGGCTTCATACAGTCACTTTTACAATGACTTCCTGATTCCTGGGTATTCTGTTAGCGCATCAGCTGCACTGAAACTAGTACGGGCAATCCAGTGTGGGCTATTTTTAGACAGCGTGGGTAATCTCTTCTAAGAGCCCTTCGGGCCCTGTCTCTCTCAAACATGGCCGGAAATGCTAAGCCAATAAGCTTTGGGCGTCTGGCTTGCCTGACAGAGACAGGGACAGAAGGAGAGATGCAACCCAAATGCTTCCTGGATTATTTAGTAGTTCACCCTTCAATGAGGGAGAGTTTGGACCTCTGGATTCCAGGAATGACATTTTAAATCATAGTCTTTTGAGCAGAATGGCATAGGACATGAAAACATGATGTCATTTTAGTTTGCTGGATTGTAAGTGTCACGAAAATGTTTTACACTTTAGGGCTTAAATCTGCACGAGTGCTCTAAAATTTGTTCTTTAATGTATGCAGGGTTTGGCTGTGAATGCGTATAGCCCCCAAACTATCTTAATATAAGATTAATTGTCCATATGTAGTAAACCATCATCTAGTCCTAATGGAGTCACTGTTGATAGATTGGCTAATGAAGTGTGCACATCTGTTAGAGTGGTTTATCCTTGTCACTGAGAATACTAAAGTTTAGGAGGTGATTCTGTATTCCTATATCCACATACTAGTCAAATCCGATTTTCTGATTTCTGCTCACTGAGGCTGAAAGCTCTGATTTCCTCTCAGCTAAATCGACCTGAGAATTCCTCTGAAGCTTGCTATATTTAATTTAATAAACTCACAGACTCTCTTAACTACATCTTTCCTATTCATTTCACTGTAGTTACTGAATAATTCATAATAGTTACTGATTAATGTGTGTTAAAGATGAATAACAAACTAATGAGCAGGACTTTAAGGGTTAAAACACACACACAAATCTGCAGTATGCTTAGAGGATAAAACACAAGAATAATCCAATGGCAAAATCTGACAAACAACAACACCTGGGGCTCAACTTGAGAGATAGACAGAGAGAGAGAAAAAGAGGGAGTGAGAGAGAGAGAGAGAGAGAGAGAGAGAGAGAGCGAGCGAAAGAGAGATCAAGAGAGAGATCAAGATAACACATTTATTTTGTAATTTATTTCACTTTTGTGCAGTGGGTGAGGGGACTAGCAGCCAACTCTGATAAAATCATTTGCTTTCAGGTGTTTTGCTTGCTACTGTACTCAGCATTGAGTGTAAATTGAATAGCGTGACCTTCTGCAACTGAATCAAATTGACTGCATTTCCACAAAGATTCTGCGGTTTCAATTACCATAGGCTTGTGATATAGGGAATGTAGCACCCTCCCCACACACACATACACATACATGAACTCAAGCAGAGTGGAAGAAGGCGTACCGTGGAGAGGTTTGCTCCTTTAGACTGCTTAGCGTGCTGGTTCTGATGGTGTGTCCTCTCCTGCTGATATCAGTGATAAATGACAGGCTGCCATGCCTCAATGCTGCTGATGAGCATGCCAGTATCCGAAAGGTCAGAGGAAGAGCCGGAGGGTAACGATGCGATCATAACAAGGGCACATGCACAAACATGTTGTATACATACAATCTGGTGGTGTAGTCAGGGGTATATGCATGAATCACATCAAAATTGGGAAGTGGTAGCTCAGTGGTTAAGATGTTGGATTCCTGAGCGGAGGGTTGTGAGTTCAAATCCCAGCACTGCCAAGCTGCCACTGCTGGGCCCTTGAGCAAGGCCCTTAACCCTCTAATGCTCAGTTGTATAAATGAGATAGTTGTAAGTCGCTCTGGATGAGGGTGTCTGCCAAAATGCAATAAGTGTAAAATGTGAAATTATTCAATCACCAAGTAAAATAAAAAAATTGCATTGAGGCGTGGAACACAATTTAATTTGTCACCTTCCTATCCTATGTATTAGTTCATTTGGTCAGTTTTTACACATACCAGAGAATTTGACTATCATCATACAGATATTAACATTCTAGCTCAGTGGTTATCAAACCTTTTGGAGCCAGGGACTCTTAACTGTGAAATAAATTCCAAGAACTAATGCCAGGTATGCGACACTAGAGCAGTGTTTGAATAGTTCAGATGGAATTCCAGCAAAATTTCAGCTTAAGTTGAGAAATGAGCAAAATCATCCAGTGTGTGAAACCAAATTGATATTTATAGCGAAACCATATTAAGGGATATTTGTCAGAATTTGCTAATTTTTTTTTATTTGTTCGGGTATTGCTGACAAACAAATAATATGCAGTTAACATTTAACATTTTACATTTCAAACCCACACACCTAGCCTAGATACTTTATACCTGTATATATTGTGCAAAAGGCATATATAGAAATACTGTAGAACAAAGATTTCTTCAAATATAATGAAATGAAATGCTCTTACATAAAGAGCAGTAAACAGTATAAACTAAATCAAATCCATATTTGATGTAAGCACCCTTTGCGTTAAAACTGCATCAATTCTCTTAGGTACTGTATGTCTTTTCATAAAGCAGTTGGCTTTTTGACGTGACATATAGGCTACAAATATTTCTTTAAAATATGTAATTTTTTTTTTCAGAAAACTTCGTATTTGCAAATGCAGAATTTGTGCTTTTCAAAAGACATAAAATAAATGTTTAAGACAAAATTTGTATAGACAGACAGCAACACAAACCTTTTGTTTCTCCATTGGTAACTTTCAATTGCAGATTCCCCCCTCAAGATGTAGCATGGCCCTTACTGCATCTACCACAACTGCTGGTGTTTCTTTTCTTTCACTGCATCAATTAAAGTGTCTTATTCCAACGAAAGGCTTTCTTTTGCTACATGTCAGGGATGCTGTGGCAGACAAAACATAAATAAATCAGAGTCGCAATATGTCTGAAATTTCAAACATTACACTTTATTTGAACATTAAAGGTACGCAGAGGAATAAGATGCTGCATAGGTTTTATTTGTCTTTCCTTTTTGCCCTGTGTGCGTACCTTTTAATTTTGTTAGTATATTTTTTCTTTTTTCACTCTCTCTATTTCTATCCTGTCCCTCTCTCCTTTTTTTCCGGTGTTTGTAACTGAAGACATGAGGCTAGTGTGTGCGTGTGACTAAATCTCTCGACTCTTCTTGTCACATGAGATCACTAGTTGTCGTCAGAGAAGGTGGGCGGAAGACTGTGGCTGCCCTCGAGGCTTGAGAGCTGTCTGTCTTACACACACACACACACACACACACACACACACACACACACACACACACTAACCCAGACACACACAGGCTGCATGTGTGAAATTATAATGTTTTTCACTCTCTATTGGTGTTTATAGTATCATATCATTTAGATGTGCCACTCATATTGACAGTGAGTGAGAGGAGCAGGTAAATCGACACCTCTGGCTGTTTGCATCTTTTAAATGTGCTTCTTAAAAGCGCTATTGACACTAATGGAGTGGTCCAATAAGCAATCGGGCTGCTCGTCAATATGTTTGACTGGTGAGAATTACTCCACAGCTCACTGCTGGGCCCTTCTTTGCTTTTAAGCTTATTAGAACGAGAAATCTGTGCTGTGCTGATTTCGGTCAATGTGTCTTTTCAGGCTAAAAGAGAATTGCATTAGAGTTCATGTCCAGCAAAAGGAGTGGAGGGGTTGGGCTTTTAATACTGTGAGTGGTATGAAAAGTTAATCCATGAGATAGCCTGTCGTGATCATTGCCTCTGGAGTTTGCATGCATCAGTGGCCGGCTTGCAGGATCATTTGCAGGGGAAATGAGGTCTGAAATAGTGCTAGTGATTCCACTGGCCGAATCCTATTTTTGCAGTTGACAGATGACTGCTATGCCATTTTGTTGTATGTGCTGTGACATTATCTGCTAGACGCATTAGAATGTGACAGATTATATAAAATGACCAGGATTCGCTCTTTTTTCTAGATCTAGATTGTGTTCCACTTGCAGTTAGTCTCGGTTTTGTACAGTGACTAGGAATCACACTTTTGTTTTTGAATTTATCTAGCCTGAGATGCTTTTATATCAGATTTTTTTCTCCTAATCTGTCCTAGTCTCCCACGCAAACACTGCTCAAGTGACGGTGCTATGACCAAGCATTGCTCTGTGAGCAATTCACATATTGCTTTCAGTGACTTTGATTTATTTGCTGTGAAATCAGGGGGCAGGCTAATAACACAGAATGAAATTATTTGTTTATCAGATGTAATGTACTTTCTCAGGGGGTCTGAAACACTGCGACTCAATCCCCTTCACACATGAATATTTCTGCTTGTGATTAGCTGGTGTGTCAACTTAGTTAACCTTAGTTAAATCTGTGCTTTTGATATTTGTGTGTGTGTGTGTGTGTGAGAGAGAGAGCAATAAAGTCTAAGTTATAGATAAGACATATCTCTTGTGAAAACCTATAATCATTCATAGTCTTTTATAAAGCCACAGCGAAGGTTTAGTTGTAAAACTCTTGAGTAATTCAACTAAATTTTATTACCTTTTGAGTCCACCATGTGTGTGGCTGTAGACATGCGTAATACAAATGAGAGCACAACTTACTATGACAGCTTGCTTAAATTTCCTACGTTTGTCTCAGGGTGCAGGAGCTTATTTAGAAGAGCGAAAAACATTGCCTATTATCAGTGGCTTGAATTGTATCTTGGCACACACAATGGCTTGGGTGGAACTCAATAAAAGAGTTAAAGCAAGGACGATTTCAAAGACAACCTGTCTGATAACAAAAGGGCTCACCTGATAATGAACGTCTCATAAGCGCTGATTCGCCTCTGAGGCAAAGGCGCAGGGAGGAAGTGGAGATAGAGCGAAAGTGCCTGCTGCTTGCCAGCATCTTTTATGGCTAATTGAAGCATTTGGAGTAAAACTGCCATGAGTCGCACCCTTTAGAATTGAAGCAGGTTAATATATTGTGATCCTACAGTTAGCCCAGAATTGCTAAGATCTTTTTTAATTTAGTGAAGGTTATTAAAAATAGGAAAGCAGTGTTTTTTCAATTTTCCTCCTATCTGACCCCACAACATCCTCATTGGGGGATCGATTGAAGTATATATGGTTACTGTGAGCAACTCTTTATTCAAGCATCTGCCCCTGACATGAGACCTCTGTTTCATTTTGCCTGTCATTTACAACTCTCTGAATGAAAGCTGTTGAGACCAGAGGTAGTGATGTGCAATGAGTAATAGAATGACAATTCAGTTTTTGCTACTTTTTGGCATGATTCAACTTTTGTGCTTTTGATTGTTGATTACATTGTGTCCCCTGCTATGACTAAGACACAGTATTACCAGCAATGGATACAACTTTGAGCTAACTGCATTGTCATACTAATTATGGCGGATATTTTTCAGCAGTCCTGAAAAATCCAGTCCTTTCAGTGCACCGCTGTCAGCATTAAATTATGATCGCTCTTTTCTGTCTGTGAAACCAGACACTTTTAGTGTTATTCCTAGGCCTCGATGTGCCTAGATTTGTGATATCTGAAGGGAGAACAGGTCAAAGTATGGCCTAGATCTCCAAGATCAAGTTCCTTGTCTTAACACGAGAACCTCATCTCTTTTATAGCTTGAATAGATAACAGTTTGGAAACTTTGAACCAAACCTAAAGTAGAAACCAAGCAATATTTGAAACAGTCATGAGGGTTTTCTAATTAACATGCTGTGAACTATTTTCAATTGAAATTATGGATTTTATATTGAAATGCTGATAGATGGTATTGAAAAAGCCAAAGTGGTAGAAGTGATCGAAAGCCAACAAACACCCTGATAATTCACAGGCAACAATTCACCCCAAAGCAGTTTTATCTCCAGACCTCAGAGGCTCCATTGTGTGTTTGGTTATCTCTGGAATTTGTCATCATTTTCTATATTGAATAAGGATAAGGCCAGAATGGTGCTATCTTCTTAGTGAAGCTGCACTTTGTATTGGAGACATGCCTGTCAGTGGTTCATCAAATTCTACTGCTATCAACTCCTGGGGTCATCTAAATAGGGAAAGATAAGTAAAATGGCCTCTGTTTTGATTTCTCAGAAGCTGTTCCCATGAGGATAGTGTCATGCTGGCATTGTAATCTATTCAGCTACGAATAAAAAGAGAATCAAATGTGTTGGTTGCACATGGGATGCCCACTATCGGCAAGCGATGTTAATCCTGTGGTGTACATAAAAAGATTTGTTCTTGCTGGGATGCATGCACCATGACCTGTGGCAGTTGGGGTGTTTATCTTCCGTGGTTGTTAAGTCCCATGGGTTTTGGCAGTGGAACTTTCAATGCCTGTCACAACTCCTCCTCCTCCCCTGGTGCTATCCCTCAGTTACTGCCCCTCCCATGTTACCATGACCACTACCCAAAGAAATTGCCTCAGCACCACAGATGCTATATTTGAGGTAATTGGGCATTTTCAATTTGGAGTTTTTGGCAGTGGGTCGTCTATTTTGTCACTTTGCTAGCATTGCTTAAAAATATCACATTCATTTAGCATTAGTGGATTATCTCAAATTCTATGGATTGTTCAGCTCGAGTCAGCTCCCTTCTGTGGAGACAGAGTTAAGGACTAAAGCAACTTCAAGTTTTCTTCCATTGTTACCCCTCCCTCTCCTTCTCTTTCCCTGGGTAGTTGCTGTGTGTCAGCCCAGTTAATAGGTTTCTTTTGGGAGATATTATTTTGGTCCAGTAAGCTGCATGCTTAATGTATGACTGACAGCACTGA